ATACTAAAGAATACTGAGTATAAAACCTTATCCTAGATTCAACCTAGAGTGGACATCATTTGACAAAAGTAGAAAACTCATCATAGGTGAGTATAATGTGTTGTATTGATGTGAAGTTGGCTGAAGGTGATGGCTTTACTGTGATTATGGAAGAAAATATCCCTACTGTACTAATTATGCATTGATGTACTTTAGGGTAAGGGGCCATACAACCCACAGAATCTATGGATGGGGTGCACATGGGTTTAAGCAGAAGTGTCTTTCATGCCAGCAACTCCCAGATACCCAGCAGCTGTTTCCCAAATTACCACACAGAGGCTTATATTAATTATAAATGCTCAGCCAGTAGCTCAGGCTTATTACTAACTAGCTCTTACACTTAAATTAACCCATAATTCTTATCTATGTTTAGCCAACGTGGCTTGGTACCTTTTCTCAGTATGATATTCTCATCTTGCTTCGCCTGAATATGCTGGTGACTCCCAACTCTGCTCTTCTTCTTCCCATCATCCTTAATTTGGTCACCCTGCCTATACTTCCTGCCTGACTACTGGCCAATCAGCATTTTATTAAACCAATTCAAGTGACAAATCTTTACAGTGTACAAGAGGATTATTCCCCAGAAGAAGAAAATCTACTTTAGCATTGCAAACAACCAAGCTGATGTTATTTTCATAAAGAACTTATACTCTAAGCACTCCATGGTGGGTGTGAATTTATGACTGATCTATTGTAATTTATAAGAAATGAACCTGGGCTATTGACAGCAGAGCTAGAAAAAGAAATTAACACTAGGGAGCTTAAGTTTAAAATGGTCTTGAACTTCTGATTAGATCTGTATTTGTCTTGTAATAGTTTACTACTAAATGAAGAAATGTGCAATATATTCATGCATACACATCTATGCATATATACATACATGCATGCATACGTACATATATATGTAACAATGAAAAGAGCTATCAACTTGAGAGTGGGGGAGTTAGGAGAAGGGCTCAAAGGATGGTAGCTGGGAGGGGATGGAGGGAGGAAAGGGAAGAAAGAAAGTGATTTAATTCTATTTCAATTAAAAACACATTTTTTGAAAAAAATAATCAATTAATCAATAGGAAAAACTGAAAAAGAGAAACCCACTCATGACTAAAAGAGTCAAGGTTGGCATGAACTTCTCTCCAGCATAGAGCCTCTTAACTGTTAGTCATGTATGCAGAAATCAAGGCAAGTCAAAGTGTCCTTTTTGTGCTTCCAGCCTGTCCTCCTCAATTCCCAGTGTGTCACATGGGTAGAACTGCTCATTAAGATTACAGGGAAATTTGGAAGCAATTAATTTTCTATTCCTTTTCGTTGGCAACAGGTAACTTTATGATGTTCTGTGCTTCAGTTATAAGTTGAGATTTTATCTAAAAAATTGAGAACCAGAAGTATTTCAAATTTTGAATTATGGTGCAGGAATTCAGAATACTTGTTTAGATACATTTATACATTCTTAAATATAAGATTCAAGTCAAACATAAATTCATTCATTTTGTATATACCTTGCAACAGGCTCTAAAAGTCACCTTACCTAGTATTTTTAGTGCAACTGCACTTTGACTGTGATCCATTCCATGAGGCCAGGTAGGAAGCTTTCTACCTGGCTGTGTCATGTAAGCACACCAAAACTTTGGGATTTTGGAGCTTTAGGATTTTTTACTTTTTGGATTTAGAATGTCCAACACACTTTCAAGCATTAGAAAACAGACGAGTAACAACTTCCCTGGTCAGATCAAAGATGTCTTTGGTCTTCAGAAGCCTGGCCATAAGCTATTGTCTTTCCCAGATGTTCAGCGCTTGAGTACTTTCTGAAGGGAGCTAGCACGTGGAAAGAGCACAGCACAGCAACAGCTCAGTCACTACCTTAAAAGTATACAGTACAGGAGTAGTGTGGAGAAGCAGCAAAGACGACCCCTGGAAGGACTGTTAAACCCCGGAACCGCTGCATTCCAAAGTTCAGCACCATCCTCCACCGCTGCCACGCCCCAAAGAAAGGCCGGAGGGGATACTAAAGGAGATAAAGCCAAGGTGAAGAATGAGCCACAGAGAAGATCTGCAAGGTTGTCTGCTAAACCTGCTCTTCCAAAGCCAGAGCCCAAGCCTAAAAAGGCCCCTGCAAAGAAGCGGGAGGAGGTACCCAAGGGGAAGAAGGGGAAAGTTGATGCTGGTTAAGGATGCGAATAATCTTGCAGAAAATGGAGACGCCAAAACAGGCCAAAACAGACCAGGCACGGAAAGCTGACGGTGCTGGAGATGACAAGTGAAATGTGTGCATTTTTGATAACTGTGTACTTCTGGTGACTGCACAGTTTGAAATACTATTTTTTAATCAAGTTTTATAAAAATGCAGAATTTTGTTTTACTTTTTTTTAAAGCTATGTTGTTAGCACATGGAACATATCATTGTTCTAGTGGGGAAGGAACATGTGTCACTAACAAAATGTCTCCCAAGCTGGATTGATGATGGTTGATGTTGGAAAACATCTTTCCCTGATAATTTTGAAAGACTCCTCTTGGCTCTCAGGAGAGACACCCTGATGCTGACATATGGCACAAAATGCCTTGTGTGGGGAAACTCTAAATTCATTTCTGTGTCTTCCTTCCCTGTACCATCAACATAGATGTAACTTCCTTCAAACCAGACACCTGTTGGAATGTGACCCTTAGAATTGGTTTTGTGGGTCTATTGGGCAATCTGGACTTTGCAGTGGTATCATTGAGTGTCCTCAAAAGAGAAGCAGTTCCTTTTATAAAAGATTGTGGACCTTCAGATTGATAATTCTGCCATGTTCATTTCGTTTCCTGAAAGTCAGGGTCGACTTGGGAAAAGTTGTTAAAAAACATCCTTAGTGTGAACTGTCAGCCCTCGCTCTAAGCTCTCTCCCTTTTCAAAGTGTCGAATGAAAACTCATCGGGTTTTATAGTGGCTTTTTGATTTTGGTAGTCTATACAAGAAGGGAGTTTGGAAGCTCTTGTATACTGTTAATGGTTGTCTTCCCATGTCTTGCCTGAAAAACCATGATTGTTTATGGAAAATATCTTTAATAAAGCTTGATACAGTTTGGCTTGGGAAAAAATATAGAGAGTGCAATTTATTCAAGAGGCTGCTTGCAGCAAATAGTCATTCCAGGGCTCAGGAATGAGGCAGGAGGATTGGAGCTTGGGGCTATCCTATGTGGAACCATCTCAAGCAAAAGGGTGATGCGGGCTGTAATTCCGCAAATGGTACAGATGAAGAGAGAAGAGCGGCTCCTAGACTGTGCAGTACAGATGCTGAGACTGAGAGGGCACAGTCTTTGTCCTTTGATCACAGATTCATCACAAGTATGTCGGTCACATATATGAGCTTGTCATCTTTTGTTCCCGTCCTTTCACTTTCTCTGGTTTTTTGTTTGTTTGTTTGTTTTTTCCTTTCTTCTCTTTCCCATTTCTGAATTTTCTGTAATTGATGTTTTCCAATGCACAGTAATGGAGTTATCATAAACTCCTTTGTGTGGTGATCTCTGACCATTCATAGCTGAGCAAGACTTCTAGGAATTAGCAATGTGTATATTGGCTAGAAAAAGAAAAAAAAACTTGAAGGTCCCAGTGCCCATAAAAACAAACAGGATTTCTGCTTGATTCATTGGGGGAAGGGTGAGAAGTGACTTCTGGGAACTACATTTTATAAATATTTGGGGGCATTCAAAGAGGACTGGTAAGAAGTGATTGCCGGAGTTCAGTGTTTGATTTTGTTTGTTTGTTTGTTTTCCCAACCAGTTTTACTCTTTTCCATCATAGCTGCTTTTTAAAATTCATTTCTCATGAGTGGGAGAAAGTAAGGTTTCTTCAATAAAAGTATTTTTTTTAAAGAAAAGTACCAATTCTGTATACCTTCTATTGTTCCCAAAGAAGAAGAAAAACCAGGTGCAACCCATCTATGATTTGTGCCAGGCCTGTCAAGGGAACTTTCCATGCCATGAGACCTTCTTAGTCTTGGAAAAAATTTGTCATTGCTCCTGAAGCAAGCCAGCTGCCACACAGACTGACAAAACACAATTCTCCAAAAGAGGTCTCTCCTGAGAGGCATCATGTTTTCAGGTTAAGAATGTCCACATCTGGACCATACACATGCACTTTGAGACACAGTGGACAATGCCAGAGTGTAGGAAATCAATGGAAAGATCTTGCTTTCTGATAGAGTACTAGCCAAGTGGAGCTGCTGATAAAATCACGAAAGTCATTTCTGTACAATTTTTAATTTATGAAAAGCAAAGAGTGAAATGACAGTGAGCAGACATCTCTTCCTTCAAGGATGAGGCAGTAAGCAGGTGCAAAATCTGCAGGGAAACTGCGGTGACATTCAGAGGAACAGCACACCGGGTGTCACCAGAAATAAGAGCAAACTTATTTCATGGACTCTGGTCTTTATTGTAGAGAAGGAGTAAGCTACCTTTGGAAATGAGCTACATCATTCTTGCTTGAAAGCAAGAAAGGAAAGCAGCTGCTAGTCCATCTGGTTTCTTTCATTACTGTCCCCTTTAAACACAGAATGACTCTCCAAGCTGACAAGGATTAACACTTTTAAACAAGGACACTCGTTTCAAAAGCAAGCAACACATATGAAGGTAACACTTTTTTAAGTTGAAGCAAGAGCATGTGGCAGTTTCCCCCACTAAATAAAGCAGGGTCCTTGGTCGACTTACACAAGCACACTGAAAGCTAGTCCCACCACATTTCCTGATCTCAGATCTTGTGCTGGCTTTGTGGTTCCATTAACTCAGGCCTTTTCAGAATTTAGTCACTTCATGGAGGACAGCTTCTAGGATTTCCTTATGGCTGTTTAATCCAGTTAAAACTCAAAGACATTCATAGCCTCTGATGAAGTCTAGCTAGCCTGTCCCAAGCCACCAGGCCCATGTGACTTGACTTCCTATACCATTACTGCCTCTCACTTTTGACAGATGTCTTCCTGTTTGCCTTTGTAGGTTTTACAGCAGCAGCCTCCCTTGTGTCCTTGGCGTGGGCCCTAGCCTCCTACCAGAAGGCTCTTCGGGACTCCCGAGATGACAAAAAGCCCATCAGCTACATGGCCGTCATCATCCAGTTCTGTTGGCACTTCTTCACCATCGCTGCCAGAGTCATCACATTTGCCCTCTTTGCTTCAGTTTTCCAGCTGTATTTTGGGATATTCATTGTCCTCCACTGGTGCATCATGACCTTCTGGATTGTCCACTGTGAGACAGAATTCTGTATCACCAAATGGGAAGAGATTGTGTTCGACATGGTGGTGGGAATCATCTACATCTTCAGTTGGTTCAATGTCAAGGAAGGCAGGACACGCTGCAGGCTGTTCATTTACTATTTTGTAATCCTTTTGGAAAACACAGCTTTGAGTGCACTCTGGTACCTCTACAAAGCTCCCCAGATTGCGGATGCATTTGCCATCCCAGCACTGTGCGTGGTTTTCAGCAGCTTTTTAACAGGCGTTGTTTTTATGCTGATGTACTATGCCTTCTTCCATCCCAATGGGCCCAGATTTGGGCAGTCACCAAGTTGTGCTTGTGATGACCCTGCTACTGCCTTCTCTCTGCCTCCAGAAGTGGCCACAAGTACACTACGGTCCATCTCCAATAACCGCAGTGTTGCCAGTGACCGTGATCAGAAATTTGCAGAGAGGGATGGATGTGTCCCTGTCTTTCAGGTGAGACCAACTGCACCACCCACCCCATCATCTCGACCACCACGGATTGAAGAATCGGTCATTAAAATTGACCTGTTCAGGAATAGGTATCCAGCGTGGGAGAGACACGTGTTGGACCGAAGCCTGAGAAAGGCCATATTAGCCTTTGAATGTTCCCCATCTCCTCCAAGGCTGCAGTACAAAGATGATGCCCTTATTCAGGAGAGGCTGGAGTACGAAACCACTTTATAAAACAGAAGAAGCCACAATGTCCATATGAAGAGATGACAGCAGGGCTGTGGCAATAATGACACTTAATCTAAGAGTAGGGCAATGAGCTATATGTCCTTAGTCTGAACATTGTCATGGTATGGTTTGATCTTCCATTAGCTGACTGCCTGCTGCTGGTGTCCATTCAAGCCAGCAGTGCTGAGAGTCTCTTACTCCACCTAACGGGGCAATGCCAGCTTAGTATGACTGTTGTTACCAAACTCCTCCAGCACAGGCTTGGAGCACATTCACCGGAGGGTACCATTATTATAAAAAAAATTGTTGCCTCTAATCATTAAGGTATTTTGATGGAGTTTACTGATTTTTGCATAAATACGTTCATATACACACACATACACACACACACCACCACCACTACCACCACCACCACCACCACCCCTCTATCTAAAGAGTTGAGGTGGGGCTAGAAAGACAACCCAGTAGTTAAGAGCACTGACTGCTCTTCCAAAGGACCCAGGTTTGATTCTCAGCACCCACTTGGTAGCTCACAACTACCTGCAACTCCAGTAGCAGGAGATCCAATGCCCATTTTTGGCCTCCTCAGGCACTGCACACACATGGTGCACAGACATATATGCAAGCAAAACACCCACACACATAAAACAAAAATGAATCTCAAAAAAGAGCTTAGGTGATTTCCTTGATGCAAAACTCAAAACAGACTCCAGAAAGAAAGCAATAGTGCTTAGAAAGATTTCATAAACCATTTTCTCATTTGGAAACCAGTAGCATATGTGGTGAAGCCTGTGCAGTGGACAGCAAACTCAAGTGTTTACATGTGTACTAGCATTGACTGAATGATTCTTTTTCTATACATTTCAGGATTTGTTTTTTACTTTAGGTTTTGCAGTTGAGAACATGCTTTATGACAGAAATCCTATGCAGCACATGTATGGCTTTGGATGAGACCAAGGAGCTCAATATCCGTGATGTAAATTAAATGATAATCATGATTCAGTATTCAATTGCAAAACTACAATTTATATGCAAAGAGCAGTTGGGGGAGGGACAAAATGAGAGTCAGATTCTAAGGTGTGTGTGGTTCATATTGGAATGCACCCACAGAGCCACAGGAGAGGGAGGGGCTGTTTCCAGGTGCAGAATGACCATAGTGAGCAGGTGTGATTTTGGAAACCATATGCCACATCTTTCTAGTGCCAAACTTTGTCCAATCACAGAACTGATATGGAATCCCCGAAAACAGAGAATAAGTGGTATCCCAAAGCAGACAAGAGAAGAATGATCAGGTTGTCCGCTGTGTACAGACTTACCTTCTCCCATCCAAGGTCAAAGTGATGTGTCTCCTAGAGACTTTGGGACACCTTTTAACAAGAGGGAGCATACAGATGCAATGTGTATGCTCTAAGGAAACTGCCTGGACTGCTTGAGGGCTTACCACTCCATCAGCTAAGATTTGTATTCAAATCATCTGTAAAGTCGCGCTCTTTCAACAAGCTTCTGAGTTTTAAATACCTCCGTACAGCAAGTAAACATTCCCGCTTTCTGTTCTCAGTGTCCTTGGTCATGGTGCTTTTTGTTGCATTAAAAGTGCCGGTCAAACTTTGATAGTATTTTTTTATAGTTGGTGCAGAGTGGAATAACTCATGGATTATTTCAATATTTTTGTAATAAAAATATAGGGTGTACATATAGGCATTGTTGCTTTTTTTTATAGACTTGGAATTGTTTAAAATACATTAAATGTCATATTCACTTGGGATATCAGAATCCAGTCTACAAATCCATCAGCCTGCCTCAGCAGATTGAAAACACTTGTCCCTGGTGAGATTACCTTACTTTTTGCCATTTGGTGGCCCAGCAACCTGACCAGGGTGCTATCAGAGCATCAAGTAAAGAGGGAAGTGGCCTAACTAGAAAGGGCTTGTGAAGACTGATCAATGTCTCCCAGGAAATCCAAGATGTAAGTGATTTCTTTCATCTATCCATTAGAACAACCTGACCACAGTGGAAGATGTCTTAAACTTCCTTCCCTGGTTTTATACTAACCCAGCTGATATATTAAAGATCAGTCAAGTCACAAAAAAAGAGAAGGAAGAAAGTCAGTTTCATTTAAATATTCACTCAAAATAGTCAAGTTCTAGAGCCACCACCCATAATGGATGAGTCATCCAAAGACTGTGGTCCCCAAAGTGACATCCACAGGAAGGGACAGAGGGCTCAACCTAGGACTTCTTTTGGTACAAAGCCCCAAAGCAATTTTTTAAGACAGACGATTTTTATCAGACATATATCCTAATACTCAATGATTTGATCCTTCAAGCAAGATTTCCACTACAATACACTAATCTTCTGTTGGAATGAAGAAATACTACCTTGCTACCAGTAAAGCTTCAGAAGACTCAGCTTCTCAGCAAATGGTGAACGCATCCCATTCCAGTATAGAAGGAAATCACAACAATTTGGGCAGATACTTTGCTGGTGTGCAGAACCATGAGCTATTAACTTCATTAGTTCTAAGACAAGTTTTAACTGATGAGCTTTGGAGACTGACTTTCCCAGGTGGTCTGCAGCTCTGATTCTGTGAGTGAATAACAGTGAACGTCGTAATAGTGTCCAATCAAACAAGCCAACAGGAGCATCCACTCTTTGATCACGTAAGTTCTAAGTTACTTCTCAACTTGATCTCACATGTAACATGCTAAGGGTTAAAACAGCTGAGATATAAATAGAAGATAATGTTCTGTACTTTGTCTTGAAAAGTAACATAGGTACTCATACAGATGTAAAAAGCTTGAATTTCTAGTCATTTCCCAAATACTGTAAATATTCTTGGATCTGACTTATGCGAAGATCATGATGTTTCAGTGAATGATGAATTCTTATTAAGGAAACGAGTTACCTACCATGTTACAGTTGTGACTCTCAAATGTAAGAAAAGCAAGCAGCAATCATAAAATCACCCCTTGCTGTTCTGATTCAGAATGCACACACTGGCAGCAGACTGCTGTAGAACATAAACACAGGCTCCAGAGTTAAGGGGCAGGTTCAACGAGGCATCATCAATGCACAAATGAACAATTTGAATTCTTCCTAAAAGTTTATTTTCATCTGACATGAAGCTCTGCACAGAGTAGCTGGAAAATAATCCAAAAGGGTGAGCAATGGCTAGCATCCAAATGGAGACGAGGGACTCTGTCTTGGGCTGAGACTACCTGGGCCTGACCCACTTGGAATCACTTAAAAGGATGATCTTACTCTCTTCTGGTAGTCATTGTGTTGGATGATGATGCTTTCTAAAGAGAAAAAAAAATCTCTCCAGTTAGCATTTCTGAATTAATCCCAACTTAAAGAACACACAGACGTACATCTTAACCATGCTGAGACTTCATTTGTGTGGAAGAAAAGCAGTTTTCCATGCCTATCAAAGTCTGATTTCCAAGAAATTATGTCCTGTACCTTCCCTACATACTAACATTATCCTGCTTAACTGTGTCTTTTCCACTTCAGCAACTGCTTTTCAGACACTCTGTGACAATTCATTTGTGATGTATACTAACACAACAGATGAAATAAAGTCCCTTACCAAGAGTTTAAGATTCTATAACTCGTGTTAGCAACAGACAATTTACACAGATATTCCGAAGATAATTGTAATCCAAGGATACAGTTAAATGTAAAATAGTGAATCCCTAGGCACACAGTTTCCTTCATGTGTTAGTGAAATGATGTGGACTGACAATATGTTTTAGCAGGCCAAGGTGCCACTAATCCTGAACTCCTGATAGCGTGAGTTCAGTCCACCAGAACCCACAGAGTAGAAGGGAGAACTAACTCTGCTGAGTTGTTCCCGGACCTCCACATACATGTCTTGGCATGTGATTGCCCACACATATATACATTAAGAAGTCAGACAGACAGACAGACAGATAGATGATAGCTTTTTGGAGTTTTGTGCCTTTAAGTTGCCTCAATAGCAAAGCTACTCACTGTACAAAGATGCAAACATGGCCCGAGTTTAAACCCTGAAATTCATGTGATATCAAAAGGAGAGAACCAACTCTACAGAGTTGTCCTTTGACCTCCACATACACACCATGACACACATCCTCACACACATACACACACACACACACACACACACACACACACACACACACACACACACGAGATCTACAGACACAGACAGAAAGACAGACAGACACTCGTATTAGTATATATACACAAACACACACACAAATTTAGAAACTCCTGGAAATAGCTTAAATCTCCATGACTTTTTGAAATCATTTATAGGTTTGTTGATAACATATAGATGACAAGGATAAAGTACATTTTGTTCTTTAATGCATTGGAAGTGGTACGTATTGACATGTGACCTTTTAGTCAAAAACCCTCTATTACTTCCTTGTTTAAAATGAACTGTCTTTCCAGTCCAGGCCTATATGACATGCAATTCCTTGTTTCTTGACTTGAGTGAACTTTACCCTCCTTAAGCAACTCATCCTTTAAGTAGCTTAAGAGAGTAGTTTTGTGTCACTTCAAAGTTCCATTGGATTAAGCCAGGGGAAACCCTTATGTCCACACAGGGTTGAGTAAGGTGATGCAGTCACTTTTAAATGTACCCGATGCTGCTAGGTGGAAGCAAGTGCTGACACAATGTTTAGACAAGAATCCAGAGAACTTTTTCTAATGAACCACCTTCTAGACTAAATATGTGCTCCTTTGCATTCACCACATATCTTTGCCGTTAGCCCTGACTGTTTCTATATAAAGCTTTGATTAGATGCCTGCATTTTTATGTTTCCGAGGAGAATTCCTTAAAGCCTCTTTTAAAATAGTTCCAACTGTCTTTCAGAATCTGACTCTGGGAGGCCAGGGGAGGCAGAGGCTGACAATGCAGCAGGACTGAGGTGGACCTTATCATAATTTTAGTGATGGACACAGATCATTTTCCATTCCTTTGACTAGTAGTCCAGCGTCGCTTTTGAGAACAGTCAAAGTTGTCACATCTGCTAGCTTTGACTCATGACATCCCTCAGCTACCCAACATTTGATGCTTCTACATGACTAGGAATGGGTGATTTCATTTTAGTTCCCATTTCTGAGTCTATTTCCCCAACCTGTATCCAGATGGGAGATAACCTAAACACTAGGTAACATCCTTTCACCCCTCTCAGACACCTAAATAGCATAAGTAATGACAAAGCTTTCTGGTGATAGGTCTTTTCCAGTTGCTATCCTGAAAATAGGCCCATTGCAAGATTCTTGTGATGGACAGCCTCAACAGGATCATTACCCATTCGAAAGTAAAACTGCAGCATGTGGGTGGAATTGGATAAAAATGTAATGAGTCATTTAATTTTGCTAATTGTAGCAATTAGGCTAGCTCACAAGCAGCTACAACAGCAGAGAGCCAAATGGAAGAAGTGGCATGCAGCCATGTGCCCACAGAAATGAGGAGCTCAGAACTCTCTGGAGGGTGGTCAAAGCATTAGATAAACGGACCATCTACCTGAACTTTTCCCTAGACTCCATGAAGAAGTAATGGTTAGACTCCTATTTATTGCATGTAGTAATCCTGCCCAGAAGTGCCAAACATAGCAAACTGGATGGCCTAGGCTTTGCTACTCAAGGATGCTGGTTGTCTCTGACTTGCCTCATCATTTGGTTACAATGTTTGCATATTATACTGACATAACACAAACACGGAAACAAACTAAGTTGAATGTGCTTTGGTTATTTTGTTTGCCTGTAGATTTCCTTGCTGTTTGATTCCCAAATCAGATAGAGTATCATTATTAAGAATGTACAATATGCTAGTGCTGTGCTGAAGACCTTTACCTCTGAGATCCCATTTACTCCTCACAACCACCGGTGAGTGACATCATTTTCAGATGTCACAGCTTCAACCCAGAGATGGTAAGTGGCTTGCCAAAGGCACCACAGCTAGGTTAGGGAAACATGGAAACAAAAGTTAGTCCCAGCTTCTACCAACTGAAAGATTTCTCAGAATTGTGGTGACCTCACCATGCCTATTTTTGATTCAACAAGTCAAATGGAAAACCAGACTCATGTCCCAATTTTTTCCAGGGACATTTCATAAAACTTAGGTATGTTGTCTACCAAAACGAAAATCTAAGAGGACCGCCAATGGTGAGATATGGAAGTCTCTATCATATGAACCTGAATATTACTTCAACTCTGACTCATTGTGTGTAGATCAGTGTTGTTTTTCCATTTAGGCAGTAGTGTATAAACTATAAAGTCTCCCTGAGGCTTCTTTCCTTGTAGTCTATCTATGCCTCACATGTTTATCCAACTAGGCAGACTGAAAAATAACTTGTCAAAACTGCTTAGTGAAAAAGACAGACTTTAAAATGACTTTATTTTCATACTATAAGGTCATTCATTTCCATTGCCTTACTTTTTACAAAAATTTGTTTAATATCTTATGGCACAGAACTTTAAGAGGATTTTTTAAAGCATTAGCACTAACCTAGAAACATTATCTTAAATTGAAGAATTAGATTCAAAGGATATACCAAGTGTTCATGAACTATTTACTGAATTCTAAAGCATTTGGCATGTTCGAAGGCAGAGTGCTAACCCACCCATCTTCTCCAGTGCATAAGAACATGCATTACATAGGAACTGTGTGTGTTGCTTGAATAGATGCTGAAAAAGTAGCAGATAATGAACCAAACAGTTTCCCAACTCTGCTATTGGTTTTTAAAATTCAGCCAATGTTCAGTTTCAGTGACAGATCCCAAGCAACATCTTACCTCCCTGCTTTAAGTTAAGCAGGTTTTGAAAAAATTGTTAAATCAGAGGTCAGTAATTTTAATAGAATATTAAAGGAAATCCCCACTATTTTATAGATAAAACAACTGAGGTGAAGCGAGTTTTGCAATCAGTGTCACAGAGTCAACCCTTATTGATTCCCTTGGCCATTTATTCAGCAAGCGTGATCCTTGTGACTGCAGCCACTAGATCATAAACAGGCACAAAACAGCCATTTGTCCTAGCAACTCCCAGTGGATTCTGAGCTGTTTAGCTGGTTCGCCAGGCTTCATCTCTAAACCTGTTCCATTCTAGCACACTGACATTTCTCTTATCACCATCTATACTTAATTCTACATTAAAACAGTAAAGAAATATGAACTTTTCTAGGGCTTTCCTATGACTCTAGAAATAACACAGTGACAGACATGAGGTGACTACATAATACGACCCTACATGAGGACTAATATGGGAGTGAGGGGAACAGAGATGCTGTATCCTGACCACAGAGGTTCAAGCCACCATCATTATACTCAGCCCTAGGTTATCACTTTTTAGACATTTAGACACACAATGGAAGCATATAGTTACTGATGAGATGCTCACAGAACAAAGATCTCATTTAACATCACATTGATTAATTAAAATAGTAAGCAAATATTAGCAGCATGGTACAACACAAAGTTTTCTTTTGTGCTATTACTGAAGCCTGCCACCTACTCTGCTATTAGAATGTCAGAAAATGTGAGCGTTTATGTTTTTATTATACTTCTACATACCAAATTAAACCAGTTTGCCCTTTCCTTTCTCTACTGCTTAATTTGCATTAAAATGGAATTAATCAAATTCTTACCGCAAGTGTTGCAAATAGGAACAAATGGAGATGTTGTGTTTAAGGTAATTTAATTTAACTATTGTGGTGGCATTCTGGCAAAGAGTTGGATCCAATCAACACTTTTAATTATTTCAAATTAGCTCATTATCAGTATGTTCTAAGATACCCTTAAGTGTGTTGAAAATACATACTGAGTTTCCATCACTGTAAGAAATTCCCGTTTTTAATACAAACCAACAAAGTGTCTTAACACACACGTACACTGCAATCCATTGTGGCTGGAAAGCCAGTACTTGCGTTGAGTGTGTTGAGTACCAGGAAATACACAAAGCAATTAAACATTGACCTGTAGTTTTCTATAGAGCCCCCACGATTTTTTATTCTACTCGAAAACAGAAAAAATGGGTCACCGCCCTGTAACCAGAGGACACTAGCCACCTGGTGAAAGAATTGTCATTTTAGAACTTGCTTTCAAAACACAAAAATACTCAACTTCCCTTGCAAATTCTTCAAATGTGTTGTGTATAATAAGTGAGTAGGTTTCTGAAGTCAGCTCCAAAGGCTTGGGGGGAAACATTTTCCTTGGTCTGAATTAGAAGCCAGGAGCTGTGTGAAGAGAGAACTGAGGAGTGGAGTGAGCCAGGACCTGCAGACATAACCCAAGCTGTCACAGCTCAGACTGCTCATGCTTTGGTCCCCTTCTTCTTTTACAGAAACACCTTGGAACCTGTCAAGTTCTACTGGAGATGAATTGCAGTTAATTAATCCAACAGACACTTTAATCTTGCAAATTCTTGACTTGTAATATTGTAATCAAGCTACTGGAAGAGAACATGAATCAGTTAAAGGAAAAGGAGCACTTGGTTCAGTACTGTGCCCTGATGTGTCCAAGCTTGAAGAGACAGGCCTCTGAGAAGTAGAGCTAAGGAAATTGTTCTACCTGGTCCCTCAACATGAATGCCATCAGTGTCCATGGTATCCATCCTCTTTCTTTATCTTTTCTAGTAAGAACTGCTTTTAAAAAATTAGCCAATGAATTCCTGGGGACTTGTATAGCTCAGAGAAATGGGTATGGGTCAAAGGGACTTGTTTCAAGTGGATTGAAACCCACTTGTTTGGAAATGAAAAGAGTCTGTCATCTTTTAATAACTGGTCTATCTTGAGTACCATCGCTGCTTTTAATTTATCCCATTGTCAGCATGATAATAGTCAATGTGTAAAACTTCCATTGATAATTCAGTTTCAAAGGTGTAGTTATAAAGTGATTTGATGCCTGCTTTCCTAAGTGGTGACATTACCAGTCCCAAACCAATATCCATTTCAACAAGGAACCAACTAACCTATGGCTTCTCAGATCAAATCTTGGTTATGACCTTAAGGATGACCAACTAAATGGCCTTAATGCCTACATTTTCATTTATAAGAAAACAGGTGGACTGAGAAATTACAACCAGGATTCCTTCCCTTTCTCTTTTTCAAATAAAGGTGAAAATTAAGTTGTCAGAGTTCAGATATAGTTATAGAGTATTCAAGAGTCTGATGTGCGTGTGGCCTTGTTAAACTTTCTATCTCCTCATTTGGCATCCATTTAGAAGTTAGATCTAAAGAAAAGGGTGAAAGTCATCAAGTGTCTCCAATAAGCACTCTGGAAAAAGAAGGAGGAGGAGGAGGAGGAGGAGGAGGAGGAGGAGGAGGAGGAGGAGGAGGAGGAGGAGGAGAAGAAGAAGAAGAAGAAGAAGAAGAAGAAGAAGAAGAAGAAGAAGAAGAAGAAGAAGAAGAAGAAGAGGAAATTGCTGTGTCTCCACACAAGCATCTCAGTGACCCTATCAGAATGTTCCCAGAACTTCTGAGTACACTCCTGGGAATCCAGCATGGATTATTCTTTAGAATAATTTCTAGAGTGATCTCTGGGTGTAACCACTAAAACTGAATGACAGTCAGAAAGGTATTCTCCTACCCTGTGACTTACCCTCACCTGTCAGACAACCAGAACTAACAAGCTGAAAAATCCTCATTTCCTGAACCTACACCCTCCTGTGTAATGTACAATGAGTTGGTTAACTGTAGGGACACAGGAACAATAGCAGTCCTCTCTAACAAGGCTCGGGAGTAAGTGTGACCATAAGAGTGTTGAGTACCAGGACAGAAGATTTCTACCAATGTAGAGGCCCAAGAAAAACTTTTCCATCACTTGTCAGGAACACTTCTCTTTTTACAAGGTAGGCACATGAACTAATCTCTGCCATTCTGTAACTATGGCAATGCGCATGTCCCCTTATGAAAGGACAAGACCTGGCTGATGTGGAGAGGTGGAGGTCATGTAGGAAGCTTCATGCCAAGACTGACTCTTTCTAAGGAAACCTGCCCTCTGATGGTTCTCTTTGACTAGTGGTCTTGTAATGCTCTGCACATCAAGAGCTTCTGGTGGATTATAAATCACTCTTAGTTATTAAACATAAACTATTTAATTATCTCTCTTTTAAAAACAATGAGATTCAGGGTTACCATGGCCTTACTCATCATCCCATTGTAAATAAATCAATCACAATAGGTCTATGTTCAAACACACTCAACCCAGTTTAACTAGTACCATCTTTCTTGCAACACAGTTTGGATCTTGAGTCTATCAGTCAGTCACCTTCTCTGTGTACCTATTCAGAGATTCATAAGTCCTGTGCAAGTAATTTTCCAGAACAATAGAAGAAAATAAAAGGACGGTCATGCACTTTTCCCATCAACACAAAAAAACATTAGACTGTTGATCACCCCAAAGTTCTGACTTTTCCTCATGACTGAGTTTATTTTTATTTGCTGGCTTTCAACATTTGAATTTTCCAGATGACTGCTGAATAAATTTCACCAAACCAAAGTAGATATTGCAGCATTATTAAAAAAGTAAAGACTGTCCACATGAATGCAAATATCCCATGAAAAATCAAGAAGTCGGTCACTCAAGCAGCACTCATCTGGAAACTCTCTGAAAGAATCCAGGTGTTTGGAGTATACAGTTTTCCATCCTGTTGTCTGGTGTATAGGTAGGCAAACTGCTCAGGTGCTGCAGGTGGAACTTAACTTTCTTGTGCAGTAATCTTTTGTTGGTGACATTCTGCTGCTAGCAATTCTCTTTGTTGTACAAAGAGAAATAAATCATGCAGAGCAACTTCGGTCTATTTTTATTTACTTTCTGAAAATGCATGACAGGAAGAGGTTGGTTGGCTTGTGTCTCGGGTGTTCTAAACATAACTGCACGGGGACCGCCTTAAAGTAGCAGTTCTTAGAGGCCTTTCTAGGAAAGGAAATTTCTTCTTTTAGCCTCTTCTATGTTTCATAATTTTATTATTGTTGTTCTAATGCTTGTAAATGGTTTAAGGGAAATACAAAATCTTCAACTTTTTATTGTTCAGATAGAACTTTTTATTTTAAGTGTCCCTTATAATATCTTAAAGCTAAAATTATATAAATTGTTTGAGACAATTACTTCAAGGTGAATTTTATGGCTGCAATTGGAGGAAAAAGGCTATTTCCCCAAATCAAATTATCTAACGTTAGGATTTGGTTTGCTAACGTCATTCCAGTTAACAAGTGATTGCTGGTTACTGTGAATATTGTAATGTGAATATTTCCCCAGTTAATCCCTGCCACTTTTCTCCATGAGGGGAAAAAAGAAATGTTGACCGTGATGGAAATTTACCTTCCAAAAGGAGGGCTGATGTTCACACTGACCCAGATTTGTTTTGTCCTGGTAACCTTGGGAAGTTGGACTTGCTCCTTCTGATCTTCTGGGTGGTGAAGATATAGATGTCTTCAAGTTGAGTGTTTTTGCCTTGTTGACTGATCTGAAGTTTGGCAGAAAAACACATAAGCCGTCCAACCTATTTCCCTTTAAGAGCACTTTAGTGGCATAACTTGCTCTGAGGCACTTATTGTTGGTGAACAAAGATCTTGGAGAGGCATCCAGCTATGCAAACATCTTGAGGGATTTCCAAAGACAGTGCAAACATTCCTAAGTACCTAGGTAGTGTCTTGATTGTGTAAAATTCTACATTCAGAGCCAATAATATCATGAGGCAGATGATGAAATTCCTCTTGAGTCTCTCCTTTCCTGGATGTAGTTTCCCTGAACACCTAAACCTCACCACTAAGCAATGTTTGTCCACCCCATGCTAACTATTTTGGGCCCTACCCTGAACACAGCTGTGGCCACAGCCCAGGTGCTCATGACCCTCTAAACACTGATTGACAAGCGCACTGAAAGTTTTGGCTTTTCTTTTTTCCTTGGGATTTTAAATCATCAATCTCTGCACCTGTGTGTTACTGAGAGAATGTTTGGCTGTTATTACCACAAGAAGGTGACAATGGATTGGCAATCACACACAAAAAAGCTGTTTCTTTTACGGTCTTTGATTCTGAGGTGATTGATGTGAAATTTATAGATTAATAGAAAAGCAAAAATCCCTGTGTTGAATATTATGGCTGTTTTAAACATGTTTAAAGATATTATATGAAACAATATTCCTTTTTTTTTTTTTTTTTTTTTTTTTTTGAGACAGGGTTTCTCTGTGTAGTTTTGGTACCTGTCCTGGATCTTGCTCTGTAGACCAGGCTGGCCTCGAACTCATAGAGATCCGCCTGGCTCTGCCTTCCAAGTGCTAGGATTAAAGGTGTGTGCCACCACAGCCTGGCCAAAACAATATTCTTTTGCACTATGGAATATAGTCCCTTCTGGGTACAGTGGCATGAAGGCATGTGGTCCAGTGACGTCGGTAAATAAACTAGTAATCTGTACACATCTGGATCCTAATCCCTCCTCTACCTCTTTACCTCAAAACTTATTTTGGCCTCATTGACCCCATATAAAAGAGTGAGTATATTTGTTTACCTACCTCATAGGGTGTTGTAAAGAATGTGAGAGCTGGTAAAGCACTTGGGTTAGAGAGCACCATGCCTCTTGCTAAGTAGCAGGAACATGGAGAACTGTGTGCATCACAGGGCTAAGAAGGGTGGGTGCCTCAGTTGTCTGAGAAGCAGCAGCCATTCCAGCTAATACAGGAAAAACTTCTCCCTTAAAGGTCTAGGTAGAAATTATAAGCTTTTAATGAGAACAAGTAACCCCTCGTATAGTCATGGAGTATCTCCATATAGATGGACCACTTTCTTCTTAATCAAACTGAATTGTACTACATGTTTATAAATACATCTAGAAAACCTGGCCCTTTCTGATCCCTGAGGAGTTTGCATGACTGCCCCCATTTTCCAGTATCATTAGTCTCTAATCCAGTACTGGTGATGCCAACTGACGTTCTGGAAACCACTCCTGGATGACGGTATTATTAAGATTTGGATTGGATTTGGAATGATTTAACTGGGTTCACATTTCATTTCTAACACAACACCTCTGCAACAGAAAAAATGTGAAGCCTTCTTTCTGCTCAGAACTCTCAAGGAAATTTGTCTTCACATTAGAAATGTATTTCAAATATTTCAGAGAACTACCTGTATAATGGCTTCAGCAACGTATCGAAGTGTGTGGACTTGCATAAATGCAATATACAGAGTGAGTTCCACAAAAGGTTAAAAAAGGCAGGAGGATGGTAGAAAAAACAGCTTCAGTGAAAATCCTGTACAACTCTGCCAAAGCGATGTGCGTTCCCTTGCTTAAATGATTAAACTTAAGCAGAAGTAAATGCAAATAATATGATTTGGAGTTACAAACTTTTGTAATTTTTGAGTCATGGGGCAATATTATGAAGTAAGAATATACCCATGGAACTATGCTAAAAATAGGGGTAATATTTTAATGATGCACTTCCATTTAGTACCTTTGTTTAACAATTGTATTCATTTTCAAAATAATTTTTATAGTCTTAAAAATTGAAATGGTTTTCAAATTTTCCCTTGAGAAGTAAATTTAAAATCACGTTGTGCTTGAATTACATACCATATTGACATCCGATATAATCTCTTCTGGACTCTAAAATTTATTTCCCAATGGACTTAATCAAAGATTTAAATTTTCAAATTGGTTAAACATTTCTAATGCATGGCATTAGGCTTTCTGAAGAATGACTATACCATAAAAAATTGTGTGACACCTTAAAAATTTCTGCACTGCCAAAATAGACTGTTACCACAGACTGGTCATATAAATACAATGCATGAGTAAAAGGTAATTTGGATATTTCTCAATTTCTATCCCCTCTGATAGCAATATTTTTCTACCCAAAATGAAAAAGTGTACCCTTTTTATCATGAAAATAAACGTCTGTTTTTATTCAGTTTTATACAGAAAACTGAAGTTGACAATTGGGTCAAGTTTCAGATAAGTTTGCTAGGATTAGCAAGAGGCAGGGGAGAGAACATGCTATGGAGAGGTTTTAACACAAAGTACAAAATAGAATCTAAGCATGTCAGAGCTGGACAGCCCCTTAAAGTACTGGCTCAGAGTTTTCACCAGCCAAGAAAAGTACAAGTGTCAGCAATGCAGCCTTTAGCACAGATGGGCTATAGGCCCACCATTTGGTAAGCATCACATTTCTGATTAGTTGTAAATACAACTGCCAAGTTTGATGGTTACATCTGGCTAACATTCTTTCAACAAACAAATGATAAACGTGGACACACAGAGATAAATTCTCTACTGCTTCAAAGAAATATCTCCCAGATTATTTATGACAACTATATCACTAATATATTACCGTCACAAACTTTTTTCATAAACAGTTTGGTCAATTGTTTATTTAAGCCTTTCTCTGATGAGTGAGGCACAATGGAGAAGGACATGGTTGACTTTGATAGGAATCTTGCTTCTGCTTTAAAAAGAAAGAAAGAAGGAAAGAAAGAAAGAAAGAAAGAAAGAAAGAAAGAAAGAAGGAAGGAAGGAAGGAAGGAAGGAAGGAAGGAAGGAAGGAAAGAAGAAAAGAATAGAAAAAAGAAAAAAATCCTGCTTTTCTTCTCAGTAGCCAGATAGCTCAGTGATGGATGTGAAGATGACTTCCTGTTCTCAGAAGAAAGAGTCAATAGAAAACCAGGTCCTCTTGGAAGCCAAGAAGTACCTTGGATTTCGAGCTAACGTGAGAGAATACTAGCCCTACTTTTGGTTACCACTCTCCCTCATTCTTCTAAAGTTAGGATTGGAATTTCCAGTAATGGTAAATAATGCTATTTTGTATAATGGCTTCAATATACATATTGTGAAAGAATTAGTTACAAATGAGAACACTGGGAAGCATGCTTCCTCTGTGTTTGCTTCTAAGCAAGTGCTTGGGAAGGCACTAGTCATGTTGACACTCTGGCTGAGCCAGTGGAGTCCAAGAGGACAGCTGCTGTGCTGTGCATGAAGCCATTGCACAAGGTGAACCTGCTTCCAAACGACAAGGCCTTGGGCTCCTGACATCGGTTCTTCATTCTCTCATTATTTTGTTGTGTAAGTTTCACATTTAACTACCTCAGCTACTGTTGTTTGATTCAGAAACACATACCATTCACTTCATAATTAATAAATTATTTCATTGAAAATTTCAAAATGCTATTTGGTGTGAAACAATTTTCAGAAATTATAAAATGCATAAGCAACCCAACTTCCACCAGGTCTACTTAATTTGGTTTGTTTCTGAGCATAGTTTGGGTTTAAAAAAAAAAAAACACTTCACTTCCACCCAACATAAAGAGAGGTTGTATATATTTGCTTAATTTGCCTTAAATATTTTGTGCTTTTTTTTCCCCTCTGTTCAATTTTTGTTTTTTAAATTTATCTCTGGAAAAAAAGAAAAAGCAATGGTGGTAGAGGAAGAACAACTGAAAAGAACGGGCCACTGGGTTCTCAGCTCCCCAACCTCAACTTACATAGTATTCTGATGCACAGTCGCCATTTTTGTGTTTTTCTCTCCACTTCAGAAATAAGGTGTGTGCAGGCAACGTGAAGACATTTCCCCTGGACAGCACGGTGCCTGGCCTCGGATGCAAACCTGCCGGTCCTGTGCTCTTACTTTGTAAACATTGTACAAATGTATTTGGAATTTTATTTGGAAAAAAAGAATTAAATGCGTTATTAAATTCTTTCCTGTAAATATATATATATATATATAAAGATATACATATTACAATCCCGCATATCCAGACATTCCTTTAGCATTCAGATTGTAAGTGTGTCTTTCTTGGCAGGAGCTGCTGCCCTGGGCAGTGACTCCAAGTGCTCTATCTCAAAGCACAGTGCGTGGAGTATTTGATATACTGCAGTACCATAGTTATTTTGGTCAGTTAAGTAAGTTGAAATTTGTGATGAAATGAAGTGGAAAGTAGTACTTCATAATGAATAAATTTCCTGGGTTATCTGATTTTTTTTCTTGTAAAACTTTAAAAAAAGAAAACTTGAAATTTTATATATTTGGATTTTGTAGATTTTTTTTTATTTTATTGCAAAGGTACCAAAATCATTAAATAAAGTACACTGTGGTCATTTTAACAGATGTCTAGTCCTTATTTTTTCACAGCCCAGAAGAGCAGAGTACAGTGAGGGTGAAGTGAGGGTCAGGGGCCACAAACACAGACTCATTTTCAAGACAATAGGATCCAAAGACATAAATAAGAAAACCAGAGTTCTAACAAATTTGAAATGCATTTAGGGTTAAACCGTAACACTTTTTTCTTTTTCTCTTTCTGATTTGTTATGTTGCCCAAGTTGAAACTTTGATATTTTCCTGCCTTGCTCAGCCTTCTGAGTAGCAAATCTCTGGGATGCCAGATATATCTCACTATGCCCAGCTTTGCTTTTTTTTTTATTTTTTAAATAATTTATTTAATTTTATTTTATGTGCATTGGTGTGAGGGTGTCAGATCTCATGGAACTGGAGTTACAGACAGTTGTGAGCTGACATGTGGGGGCTGGGAATTGAACCTGGGTCCCCTGGAACAGCAGTCAGTACTCTTAACCACTGTGCCATCTCTCCAGCACCCCCCCCCCCAGCTTCATTTTTAAAATGTTCATTTTGCTTACTGTATTTTTGGAAGCATTAAAGAATATTCTCCTAGAGCCAATATAAAAGCAAAAAAGAAATGTTTGTGACTACACAAACTTAAAAAGGAAATTAAATTGTTTGACTTTAAATGAGAAAATTTTCCCACAAACAAATGTACTTTCTAAAATATGATGTGTCTAAATGTTTCCTTTTTCTACATATTAGTCCTATACTTCATATAATTGTTTTTCTTTAGTCTATGTTTGAAGAATTGTCTCTGTTCTAAAAGTAGTTGGTATGAGTCCCACAGGTTTACAGATATAACACTGAATTGCATATGTGAAAATGTCCATGGATTAAAAATTAGAAATGGGATTGGTGGACTTGAAACACATTGGGAAGACTTGCTGTGATCCCAGCACTCACATCAAGCAGTTCACAACTACTGCAACTCCAACTCCATGGGATCCAAAGCCTTCTTCTGGCCTCCATAGGCACCTGAGCATTCACATGGCACACACACACACACACACACACACACACACACACACACACACACAAACACAAGTGCACATGGGCACACTTGAATGTACACACAGACACACTAAAGATAAAACTTTTAAACATTATAAGCATGCCAGCCATTGAGATGGGTCAATGAGTGAAGGCATTTGAGTTCAATTCTTGGAACTTGTGTAAAGGTAGAAGGAAAGAACTAACTCCACAAAGTTATACTCCAACCTCCAAATATACCATGGCACATTGACTCCTACACATACACACATAGACACGTACATACCATGGACACATACATATACATACTCACAGATACACACACAGTGGGTCATTTTAACAGAAGTCTGTCCCTCATTCATCTAAAGTCGAGGAGCAGACACATACACACATCATGTACATGCACACAGAAACACACATACATATTAGGGTCATTTCAACACAGATATATACATCAAAAACAGAGAGAGAGAAAGAGACAGACACAAAGACACATACACACCATGTGCACACACATACACACAGTAATATTTTTAAGTAGAAATATTAGAAACAGATAAGTGTAGACAAATTTCTAAATAGTCTTATTAAATAAGAAACACAGAGTCAAATACAGGGGTAATAGCCAAAGAGATCAGAGCAATAACCACCAACTAACCTTAGCTTACCATCTCGCTGTAACTTCCCAAGAGAGCTTCTTCCTGTCTAACCTGTGCCTTAATTGCCTTCCTGTTCTGCCTTCTCATTGGCTCTAAGCCCAGCCACATCACTTCCTCATCACTGCCTGTCTATACAGACCTCCAGGTCTTTATGGTCGGTACTAGGATTAAAGGCGTGTGTCACCACGCTTGGCTGTGTCCTTGAACACACAGAGACTCTGCCTGCTATGTGATCAGATTAAGGGCATGTGTTACCACCACCTGACTTCTGTTTATGTTTTGCTATGACCTCTGATCTCCAAGCAAACTTTATTTATTAACATACAAATAAAACATCACATTTCAGCACAAATAAAATATCACCACAGATAAGGAAAGGATTAGATGTAAGAAAAGCAAGAAAATGTTTTCAAGATTTGCCTGTTTCAGCTAGGCATGACAGCTAGTGTCCAAAACAACAGCATTGGAGATATAGAGGCAAGACTAGGAATTCAGTGTCACCCTTGGCTACACTGAAAGTTCAAGGCCAGCCTGGGCTACAAGAAACCTGTCTCAAAAAAAAATTGGTGTTTCTAAAAATATGTACATTATCACCATCATCATTGTCATCACCATCATCAAACTGTCCAAGTTTGAATGGAAGGCAGAGCACAACATCGTGGAGTCACTTCTCTCCTGCTTTTACATAAGTTCCAATCAAACTCAGGTTGTCAAGCTTACAGAGACGCACCTTTTCCTACTGAGCTGTCTTGCAGGGACCTTGTTTCTTTTTTAGAATAACTTAATAGGATTTTCCTTTTTTTATCAATTATTATAGTAATATATACTAAATGTAAAATTACTTGAAACATACAATTTTGATTGATAGGTTCATTAAAACCTTTTTTCAAGAATTTATGTTTTTTACTCTGTTTATTCAACAAAGTTTTAAACAATCATGTCTGGTGCATTATATTAGGGTTACAAGTATAAATAAAACCTATTTATTCTTAAGGAATATAGCCTGGAAGTAAAAGTAAGCAAGATATACAAAATATGACTATATATATATAAACAACATAGATGTTTAGAACTTTCTGTCACCATTAAACACAGTCTGCAAGAGGCCAAGGCCTAAAAAGAAAGTTACAGTACTGAAGAAACCTGGCCCCTCCAGTCAGAGAGAAGCAGCATCCCTGGCCTTTGTAGGACCTCGGTGGGCATTATGATATCCACAGACACAGTCACTCCCAGCCTCTACTGTCCTTGGCCCAACAGTGTGTAAAAGACAAAGTAACAACATGATTAACTCAGTATTCACTGTCTGAGAGCACAGGGGAAGAGAAATGGATATTTATTAATGTCACTTCATGTTTACAACAATGATTAAGCATTGTTATGATGATATGAAAATGAGATTTATATTTAAAGGGAGATTTTTTTTTAAAGAAAACACACCACAATCCTGAATTAGAAACTTTAAAATGTGGAATGCAATTTTCCCAAGTCATCACCTGAAGTCCAAACAAAGCACCAATGTTGTGGTATAAAACTTGACAAAGTAGTTGGAAAGTATAATTAAAGATCAAATGTTTCAGAATAGTCACCTGTCTTAAGATGAAGACATGATGGACTCGTATCCTTCCAACTTATTATGGGGTACAATATCCATAAGCAGATGCTACAGGCACATAAAAATAGAAATCAATAAGCCCCACAAAAATACAGCAATAGAATCTCTATGGATTCATAGAAATGAATTTAGTTATATGGTAATTTGAGGTCAGTAGAGAGAAGATTACTTTGTAAGCAATGGTTACCACAAGGGATATCTTACTGAAAAAAAAACATGTAGATCAAATACACAGTGTGGAAAATACAGCCACTAAAATGATGTACTTATATTGTTTTGAAATGAAAGCTATCTTCCAAGTTTTATACTAAATGCAAGAGTATGATCAATAATTTCTTTCTTTTCCCTTAAAGTTCCTCTTTAAACACAGATGTCCAGGAAACAAATGATAATGCTACTGTAGGTCCTTTGAACAGATGTCCTAAGACGGGCAGACAGATGTCCTTTACAGGGAAAACTGGGAATGACTGTGAACAACAGGAAACTAAACCTAAGATTGATCTTGTGTGAGAGGCAAAACAACAGAAGTAAATATTGCCACAGTAACTTGGTTGCAATGAATAGGGGTGTTAACTGTTAAAATGCATTTTGAAAGGAAAGGAAAGGGTTTGCTGTTCTTGGTTAAACCATGAATAATAACACAGGACAAACAAACCACTACCAAGCGAACGCTGACTCTATGAGGAGAGTGCTGACAAGAAGACAGCAGACTGGCACTAGGCACATATCTGCCTGGAGGTCATAGTGCCTCACACACACCAACCAGGGAAGAGACTCACAGCTGCATTACATGTGAACAGACTTCATTTGACAGATGTGTTTAAGAGAAGGGAACCTTGTAGAACTTGTAAACTTATATAAATGATTTGTATGTAGTAAGTACTATTTTATGAAGTCCATGAGAGTAACTTTAGGAAAAGTCTGAATTTTTTTCAGACTAAATAAGTACAAGAAAAGGTAAGAGAGGCTGGAGAGATGGGTCAGCAGTTAAGAGAGCACCTGGTGCTCTTGTAGATGACCAGGATTCCATTCCCAGCACCTACATGATGACTCCCAAACTTCTGTAACTCCAGCTCCAGAGGATCAGAAGCCATCTTCTTACCTCCATAGACACTGCATGCCCGTAATGCACATGTCCACATGCAGGCAAAACACTCATAACATTGAAAGAAAATATATATAAAAACAAAAACGAAGTGATCAGAGATGAGAAAGTCACCTTGGACAGGAGGCTGGGACCTGCTGGACCTGTGAGAGATGTCCCTCTGGGTTATTCAAAAGTGATTCATGTGAGCTAGCACAAAGTGTCCACAGGGTTCTCAGGTGACCTGTAAAAGAAGCTGAAGCCATGGATAAACTAAACCATCCATAGAACTGGTGTTGATTTCCAAAGTCTCTGCTATTGCTTGAACGTGTGTTCTCACCTAAGCTTATGTTGAATTGTTATTGTCCTTGTGACAGCACTTCAAGGTTGGATCTTCACAGAGCATAAGGCCATGCAAGTTCCACCCTCATGGGTAGATGCCATTACCAGAAGACAAGTTGAATATCTCTTGTTTCTTGCTTCTCTCTCTCCCTGTGTCCTTCTATTCCCATGATGCCTTCCCTCAGGCTATGAGGCAATAAGAAAGCTCTTGTTAGGCACAGCCTGTCTACCATGCTCTTCCTAGTGTCTAGAATGGTAAACCAATAAATTTCCCACTCTATGCTATTCTGTTATCAC